ACATATGCTGTCATACTTTTCCCGGGATGACTGGTGGAAGTCCTCCCCACAAAGTTTATGAACACTCCAAGTAATCCCCTTAAGTATGTTCCATGCGCCCTTGGGATTTCCTGTTTTAGAAACAGACCAAATTAAGGCACCAGTAAAAGACTACAGTAAGATCTGAAAGTCATACTATGCTGAGGCTTATTCACAACAGGTAAAATACAAAACACTGATGCTGACTTCACAGTGCAAACATAGCTAGGCCATCTGAAAAGAAATAATGCTGTATCCCTTTCAGTTTATCTTTTATATTCATAATAATTTCAAGCTGGCTCCTAGGTGTCTGGTTACTCCTTAAAATCTTATGTTTTTCCTGGTTGCTAATCGGTTTCTTGAGACGTTCCAAACCAGATAACCTTTTGTTGCTGATAAAGGTAATTCATGTAAATTAGAACTGTTTAAATAACAGGATTTTCCCTGTCAATTATGACTTGGGACTCTCTTGATTTACACAACTAAAAGAATGCTTTGAAGAGGCTGGACTAAGGGTATAAGAAAGCTGTAAAGCAGCAAACAGTGCGTTTCAAGGGAGAAATCTCTCTGACACCATCCGCCTTTGTGGGATAAACAGATTGTCTCTTTTTGCCGCCTGTTTCACCTTCAACAATTGTGCTAGGAACTTTTCCTGTCAACAGAACACCCAAGTGCCTTGGAATGGTGAGATCCCAGCTCTCGCTCTCTCTCTCTTTCTGTCTAGGCATAGCTTTCTGAGCCTGAATTTCATTAGTTAACCTTGAGCTAGATTTTCCCAAATACTCAATTGAACCAGAGTAATATTGTAATTGTTTTTGTTTCATAGTTGGTAGGGTCAGAAGGGACCTGAGCAGATCATCAAGTCCAACCCCCTGCCATGGCAGGAAAGAGTACTGGAGTGAAATGACCCCAGCAAGGTGTTCATCTAACCTCCTCTTAAAGACCCCCAGGGTAGGAGCCAGCACCACTTCTCTTGGAAGTTGGTTCCAGATCCTAGCTGCCCTGACAGTGAAGTAGCACCTTCTGATATCTAGCCTGAATCTACCTTCTTCCAGCTTGTGACTGTTATTTCTTGTCACTCCTGGTAGTGCTCGGGGGAACAGGGACTCTCCCAATGCCTGCTGGTCCCCCTTGACTAGTTTGTAAACAGCCACTAGATCA